ACAAAGCAGCCACACAAGCCTATGAAAGGATAGTGCTCCTTTAACCATGTTAAGAGAGGTATTTTGTAGGAGTTCCTGCATGTTGCAAAGCACCTTTTTCAAAGGATTTGCGCAGCCCTAGTCAAAACAGGCCTTTTCTAGTCTGAAATACCAGAATATTTCCTTCATTTCCTTCCGTTACCCCAATACTCCTCTAGGTTCCCCAAGGTAAAACTTAGCAAACAGTTGTTTGTACTATATTACAAGTAATAGAATATATTACATGAATTACATAACCTCCTCCGGCGTGTATTCAAATGAGTTAAAAGGAACCTTTGAATAGATGTGTAGACTGGAAGCCCTGCTCACAGTTTAACCAAACACAGAATTATTTTTGCTAATTTGCAGGTCAAAATAAACATTCTTTCCCTCGTTGGTATTTTTTAAAAATTGAAGATCCAACTGAGAAATCGTAACAAGCACATCTGCATGTGGCATACGCAGTTTTGTTTAATATTTTCCTGATTATAAGTTATAATGTGAGCTTCAATCAATTTCTGAAAGCCAACCCCTGGGAAAAATATGTTTTATTTTAGTATCAATGCATATTCTGTCTCCATATGAAGAGCTCTGTTATTTCAAATTGCTGTTCCATTTAATTTTCTTCATCCTGAGAAAATAGTTTAAGATCATGATCCCATGAACAGCTGGGGCAGGATCTATTGCAAACAATGGCGTTTATTTTTTAGCAGATTTTTTTAGATATATATAGTATAGACAGCACTACAAAACATCTCCTATATAGTAGTCCTCAACTTACAACAGTTCATTTAGTGACCGTTTGAATTTACAACAGCTCTGAAAAATGTGACTTATGACCGTCTTTCACACTTACAATTGCTGCAACATCTCCACGGTCATGTGATCAAAATCAGACGCTTGGCAACTGACTCACATTTATGGCGGTTGCAGTGTCCCAGGGTCACGTGATCACCTTTTGCCGCCTTCTGACAAGCAAAGTCAATGGGGAAGCCAGATTCACTTAACAACCGTGTCACTAGTTTAACAACTGCAGTGATTCACTTAACAACTGTGGCAATAAAGGTTGTAAAATGGGGCAAAACTCACTTAACAACTATCTCACTTAGCAACAGAAATTTTGGGCTCCATTGTGATCATAAGTCGAGGACTACCTGTACTTTGACTACTGTTGATAAAAACACTTTTGTGAAACCAGCAACCTTTTAAAGAATAATTTCACATATTATGATGTGGAAGTGGTAAGAAAGGAAATGTCAGTGATCTTTCTGCATAACAGACAACCCACAAAGTTGCTCTAACAGAAAGTGCTAATATACTCCATAAAATAGAGTTTTGCTCCATTAATTAGTGGTAGGGATAGTATCGCTTTTGATATGTCTCTTCCAGACTGTGCTTTAAAACAATTTTACATTAGATATAAATAAGAATGATGCTCCTACAGTTAATTCTTCAACAGGAAAGATAATTTTAGTATATACAGGAGGGACAATTTGCAGAAAAATTAGAAAAGGTGATTTACAGTATGCAGGGAATATGACCGTAACTCTTTCTGCAATTCTTTATAGTAGTTGCATCTATCACTTTCATTTATTTTGCAGATGACTGAGAGAAAATTCAAAGGCCCGTGAAATGCTATAAAGCTGAATGTCTCCTTTTCCTCTTTTTTTAAAAATGCACTGTTGCTAAAATCATTTTCTTATTATTAAGAGATACTGTGAAAAATATTTTTGAAAATGAGGCTACTACTTGTCAGGAAATTTCAGAATTTCTGGAATGATAAAACTAGAATCTATTACTTTGTGTAAAACTGGCCCAGGGAAGCCAGTTAAAACATGGGTCAGCTTTACTATCAATTTCAGTGATTTCTGAGCAAAGAAAAGCTTACATTGAACTTTATGTGGTCACTATGCTCCTTGTATACTATATAATGATCAGTGCTAAAAATTCAATAGTGACCACTGGTTGTTAAGCAGGCAAGAGAAATAAATGTCTATCTTACTCTAAATGTTACAACGCACTTAAGGGGCGAATACCAGAATTGTTAGCTTGCACAACTGCTATCTTGATATTATTTTCTTCTTGGTTTCTAGCAACATGTACAGTTTCCATTTATAGGTGTACCCCATTATTCTTTTAACTTAAACTGAATAATTTTTTTCATTGATAATGACATTTAACCCCTTTGGTGCTTATTGGAAGGAAACTGCTTGAAATTTGCTTGTTTATCTTTCTGCTTATTGCTTTTATAAAAACAATTTCCATAATAAGTTGCCACTGAGACAGAAAAGTTGCAGAAAGGGACAACCAAAACTATCAAAAAGCTGAAACGTATAAGGGGGGGGTGTGACGGGAGGGAGCAGTAATTTGGGTCCTGTAGATTAGGAAATTTCAAATTTTCAATCCAAATCACTTCTGCTACAGTCTTGATACCATCTTAATCAAATGTATTAACTCAAGAGCCTGCCGCCACAATCTGAATTGAGAACTGTGCCAGAGATGGCTTTAAATGGAGATAATAGGTTGTTGACAGACTTGGTAACTTAAATAGCAAGATGGAACCTCCACTTCCATTGGCATAATACCCCAAAATGTCAATTACTAGGGTGTCTGGAGGGAAACTGTTGCCTTCTGTGTGTGAGAAAGACACAGGAAGCCAAGTGATAGAACTTTGGTAAGACCTACAAGCTTAGCCCAGGATGGATTCATTTTCTTGCCCTGTAGAATTCCGCTTGGAATCTGCTACCGTCAATACTTCGGACTCTGAAGTCTTGCTTTCTTTCAAAATCCTATTTTATCTAATAAACAGATAAACTTGAACACCTCTCTTTGACACCAGCTAGCTGCCCAAGAAATCTATTCTCTTTAAGGAAGGAGGAGACGACACTAATGTTATAACTGATAAAACCCAAACAAATATTCCACCTAAGCAAAAGCAATGATTTTTCTGACTTAAACATTCCATCAATTTCTAGCGAGAGCACAGAGTGTTGTTATATTTCCTTGACTGCATTTCTTTTGACACTGGGCTTTTATGGACTTCAGATAGACCCGTCAGACAGAATCAAGATGTTTAAAGAGCAAAGCTCCCCAAGATCTAAAGTGTAATCAAGTTATATTGAAAGGGCAGAGAAATTGTCCTTAATTGGACCATCCTTTGTACACTACAGTGGAAACAATCCCCTTTTGATTAATGGGCTTACTTCCAGTTAACTGTGTACTAGATTGCAGCTTGAAGGAGCAAATCTGGGACTAAGCCCCACTGAAACGAACTAGATTTATTGCTGCAGAAACCAATTTAGAATTCTAGAGTAAGACTGCAACTGAATCGTCATATATTTGGGGTTAAGCTGTTAAGAAAAACAAATCCACACTCACAGCAACATTTAAATCTTCCAATTAACCTCCCAAATATTGGAAAGTAGGCTCCACTGAGATGAGTATAAGCACAAGAGAAAGCCTTTCAATAATTGCATAAAACAATTGCAGGAAAATGGCAAATAAGAAAGCAGAAAGAGGTAACACTTTATTAATGAAGACAATATAATTGTCCCAAGACAACGTTGCAATCTGAGTTGGTCACTGGGACCAGAGGTTTGTTCTTCCAAGCTTTTGGACTCATGCTGAGGACTCAGATTGGACCCTTCAACATTTTATTATACTGATCAATTTATCCTTTTTTTTTTACTAGTAAGGAAGAAACTACAAGCAGCTTTTTACAATATAGAATCTAAATCCTACAAACTTCAAACGCATCCTATCAGCAGCTAAATCCCCATCTGATACCCACAGAACTTTTCTGTAACTAGTGAGGCCAAGATCACAGTTTGTATTATAATCATTTGTCAATAGGCACAAAACATTGCCCTGCTGCTGAAAGTATTTCACAGAATACTAAAAATATTTTATTTGTTTACTACAAAATAGTAGCACTATTTTTTTTTTATAAAAAAAAGCTTCTTTGCATATATTTTTTTGCAATTCTTATTCAGTGGAGAAATATCTACATTTACAACTCTCTATATGCTGAAGAGAAAAAAAAGATATTTTCAAAGAAAGAAAATGTAGGATACACATTTTATTAATACCAAACACCAATAACAAATATTATATTAAAGAAGAGTTTTTATTGATGTAATATTTCCTGATATCCAACTGTAATACACTTCCAGTTCCCCAATGCAACAAAGTAAATTTTCATTAAAACATTTTTTTCCTCGAATGTTGGCAGGGTACTAAAATGTACCCTTCTCATGTGCCTGTGTGCCGTAATCTTACAAAATAGGGAACAAGCTCATTTCTAACCCATGGTCACTAAACCAGTTCAAGAAACACAAAGTTTGCCTTCTTAAAAGAATCTCAACAATAAAAATGAGGATTCAGAATTCAGTTCAAACTCCTCTGCTTCAAATTCAGGAGGATTTACTGTGGAAATGAGCCTGATTCATAGAAACTTGAATCTCTGACAAGAGGGAAGGAGGGAGATACATGTATTGATGAAATCTCTAACCCTCATATTTATCTGTAAGTTAGGGCTTGGCATCTGTAAGGTACACCTGTATAAAGCCTGCTTAGCTTAAGGTGCATTTGGGGGGGGGGGGGGAATCCTCACTTTGCCATAGATTTTTTTTAAAAAAAAATAGTCAAGGAATGAATCCTTAACTGGGCCATTTGTGATGAATTGTTGTTTTTTTTAAAATAACTTTGGTACAGTAGAACAGTAGTAGCAATAATAATGATACTATAATTTTGCTAATTTGCTTTACATGTCTGCTCTGGGGTGATAGGAGACCCCAATAAGCAAGTGTGTATAGCAGCATTGCAAGACAGAGGGGATATTGCCCAAAAGGCCACAATCGCTTTTAATGGAACCCATCATGTTAAAAATTTTGAAGATTCAAGATGTTAATTTTAGTCTTGAAACATGATCACGTCATAGACATAATGTAAGAATTTAGGAATGGGAGGGGAAGTGTACTCACCAAAGGTGACATAGATCCGTTTGGCAGGTAAGGATCAGACAGCATGAGGAAAGGGTATCCAGAATAAGGAGATCCTTTATACATCCCTGGGTCCTGATGTTTTAAACCTGTTAAAATTCAAGTCCCTGGTTAGGGTTTTGTCTCAGAACCAATCTCCCCTCCGTTCCACACACATTTGTTTGACAAGAAGTGCATAATGTGAGTTCACTGGCGTCTGTGAGGTTCACCTGACATTCAACTCCCCCCCCCCCGTTACTGCCAGGCATGAGCCTCAGTTTGCAACTTATCTGGTGGTTCAAGATAAGCCACAAATGAAAGGACCGCGTCCCAGAATGAAACCAGTGCGCACACGTGCTCATTTCTCCACCTTTGTTAAAACTGGTGTTCTTGGTTAATAAGGAGTGGGGTGCCTTCTGTCCCGGGTTTTTGTACCTGCTCTAAGCCTCTTCCCCAAACCTCCAGCGTGTGTGTGTGTGTGTGTGTGTGTGTCCCCTTCAAGGAACTCACTGCACCAACAGTACCCAGACCAACTTTACCTCCCGCGATGTAATAGTCACTTATGGGAAAAAAAAATTGTGCTGTGGTGTGTGTGTTTGTGTGTGCGCGTGTGCAAAAGGGGTGAGGGGAGGATGACAGCCTGCGGAGTAGCACCTTTAGGTTCAGTTTCAGTCGCCTGCACCCGGTGGCCCCGCAGGTCCGGGCTTTCACGAGTGGAGCAGAGTCCGTCTCCGGCGCGAGCGGGAGGCGTTTGCCTGCTTTGATTTCGCGGCGAGGCATTGACGTTTCCCCCCGCGACCACGAGGGCTGCCAAACCTTCCCCCTTCTCCCCTCCCCTCGGCGGTCATGCTCCCTCCCTTGAGGCACGGAGGGGCAGAGGAAAAGGTGGGCGGCGGGGAGAGAGGAGAGGAGGAGGAGGAGGAGGAGGAGGAGGAGGAGGAGGAGAAGAGGAGCTTTTCGAAAACTGACCCTCGTCCAAGTGATCCGGGAGTTTCTCCGCGTAGACCCTCTGAGGCTCCTGCAGCCGCCGGATTGCCTGCAAAGGCGAGGGGAGAGAAAGGGATGGAGGTGGCTGGCCATTTGTATTTACTTATTTATTTGAAAGTTTGCAAGCTCCTCAGCATAAGAGGAGAAAGTGATCTGGGGCGGGCGGGGTTCGATCTCACCTCGGGATGGGCTCCTGCGGCGGCGGCGGCGGCAGCGGCTCCGGCCACGGTTGCTGCTGGGTTCGACGCCTGTCGGTTGCTGCCGCCGCCGCCGCCGCCGCCGCCGCTGCTGCTTTCCGACTCGTTCACCAGGGATGATTTGAGGTCAGCCAGGTCCCCCTCGGTGAAGACGTTGGCCTGGATTTTCTCCTCCTGCTCACCTTCGTCCTTAAAGGCGATCATCTCGTCGTTGGCTCCCAGGTCGTCGCCTCCGCCGCTGAGTTGGGGCATTTTCTTCCCGAGCCACGCCAGGGAAGCGCGAAGTTGTGCGTCGGAGCGACGCTGGGAAAGGAGGCTCCCGGCTCCCCCTTTCTTGCTTGGAGAGGAGGCGAAACGTTTGGCCGGCTCCTGACCCGGTATATATATCCTGGCACCCAACTCTCGCTGGAGCGCTAGCCTAGGGTGGGGTGGGGGGGCTAATGCTTGCGATCCAAGGCAGGAAAGGCAACCGGAGGGGTCGAGGCAACGATCCACCGCTTCCCTCCCGCGGTGCCCCTCCTTCCCCGGCCCCGGGAAAGTTTGACTAAGCAGCAGCCGGCCGGCCAGCCAGCCAGCCTAGCTGGGGAGCAGCAACGCCGGCGACTTTCGCTGGGGGGGGGGAAATAAGAAAGAAAGAAAGAAATCCCGAGCAGCCGCCGAGCCAGCCCTGTAAAGTGCGCGACTCGGGAAGAACACTGGAGAGTCCTAGCCAAAGATTTTCAACATCAAAGCCGCCGCCGGCTGATTGACAGCGGCGGGGAGGGATTGGAGCGCTCTGTTCTCCGGCGACGCGCTGCAGCCTTAAAGAGACAGCGCCCGTCTCCGCCCGCCCGGCTGCAGGCGATGCTCGCGACGACGAAGCGATTTAGAACCGGCGCTCTTCGCCTCCCTGCTGGGATGGAGGGCGGCAGCCTTGGCAGGGGCGCAATGCAGCCTCGGCGGTGGAAGAGGGGCGGCCAAGCTTCCCCTCTCCTGACGAAAGTCGGTCCCGTCCGAGGGATTGGCGCACTTACACGTGTCGGTGCGCAAGCAATACGCAGACGCCGCCGTCCTGTACGCAGACAGTGCGAGGCTTTGCAAGAGGAGGAGAGCGGCGAAACCCACGAACAATGCACGGGTGGCCTTTGCCTCCGGGCTGCTCTCTTCTCACGCACCCTTTCCCCCGACCTAGGTTGCCTCCAGAGGGCTCGGACGCCTCCCAGAGTTCCCAGTCAGCTGGTCTAACCAAAGGCCGCGGTGACTGGGGATTATGGGAGATGTCGTCCGACGCGTCTGGAGGAAAGCAGGTTGGGAACCCTGTTTTAATGCAACGGCGTTAATCTTTAGGCAATTGCCTCAGAGAAGGATACGGTGGTGGGTTTTTATTATTATTATTATTAAGACTCTGTACTCGATATTCACTTTTACAAATCCCCTTCATCATTTCGGAATCCCCTGTTAAGGTTATGGAACCAATTCCTATGGAACAATCACAATCTGTCTGTCCTGCTCTCTCTCATCTGGGTGAGATCACAGTGGGGTTTCTTTCTGAGCAAAGAAAGAAATTCCACTGTGGCCCTTGATTGCTGTAAGGGTCTAACCCCATAACCATTTATTTTGCAAGCCATCTCAGGAATGGAACCAGGATGGGTTCATCTATCAAACCAAACCATGATTTGTTTCACCCACTGTTGACTAGATTCATGCAACATGCTAATTTTTTTTTAAAAAGCATGTTATGGCTCCAGTTAATCACACTATTTCCTAATAAACTCATATGAATTACAACTATTTCTATATACTATGCGAAACAGAATCAGGTCTTTCTGACACCCAGTCACCCAAAATTGCACTGCTGCTGTTTACAGCTGTTGTTCTAGCAAGACATGCCTGTCTTCCCCACAGATCCTAGACACAATTTTCTTAATTTTAATGGCACCAACTTTTAAATAAGCTCCGGTTAGATTAAGCCTTAATTGCCCTTATTTTATTGTATTTTATTTTCTTAATGAATGGGCAGAACTATTTTTTAAATTAAACTTGAGGTTTAGGCTAAACCCAAACTAGTCAAACAACATGAAGCATCAGCAGTGGGTTTTTATTAATAAAGACTCAGCTTTTCCAGCTATGCCTAAAACTCTACCCACATATTCTGGCATATTGAACCAATGGGACTGACTTCTGAGTAGGTCAAGCGTGGGCTCTACTTCTGATATTTGCCTGCTGCCGGCTACCCTCCCTTTTGGTCTCATTGGCTGCAGAGAAGCTCAACTAACCTGGGCCCAATGGATGCCCATTTATGTTTGGGGTGAGGCGCAAAGCCCTTCTCTCTCTTTTTGTGCCTGTCAACTGGTCATCCAGCTCTAAAAACATTTATCTTTGTCTGTTGGGATTTCCAGGTTCCCGAAGTCCCCATCCTCCCCCTCCCCCACTAAAATAAAAAATAAAAAATTAGGGAACACCTTTATTTTTAATTTTTATTTTTTTTTCTTAATTTCTCCTCCTCTGGTATTGGTGATCCCTCCTGGAATAAAAACACGTAACACTGGATCTCAGATAATCGTTACTTTTCCTAACTTGCCCCGAGGGTCAGGAAACATGAAATTAGCAACTTTTCAGCCGGTTTTCAAACCACTTCAAGAGGGGCGTCGTCCAGAGGCTGGGTGGGTGGGATGGGGAGTGAACTTAGGCAATAAAATTTTTCATTTGGGATCCTCCTCAAAGTCCCTGCTATTCACGAGACATTTTCTGAGACGACATTTTCCAACTTGGCGCACATAATTCTTGTACGCAAGAGTTAATGAATAGTAAAACACCCTCCGACGGGGCTCCCGCTCCTTTTCATAGCGGGACAGCTGCGGGTCTTGCAAACCGTCCATCTGGTCGGGCATCTGAACAATTCCACGTAAAGAGGTCTTCATGCTCTCC